AGTAATGTGCTGTACGTATAATAAAATTACACTGATTTCATCATGCTACAAGGAGCTCGATCTTTTCATGATTAGAAAACCATGAGCTCTTAAATCTTAAAAACATTTTATCTCGCATCATATACATCCAGGGGCCATTTTCAATGCTCTTTTGATCGTTCCTGATTGAAGCAAATAACGACCATCCATACTGGGATGTTATGAAGAGAAGTGTGATGTGGAACAAAGTGAAGTAATGCCCGTGTCGTGTAATGCATGGCGGCTTCCTTTTCTCCGATCCCGCTCGCCTTTTAATCACGAGAGCGTGAAGGCATTCATCCATTACGGTCTGTTTAAGGTGGCCTTAAACGTCCAAATATTATGATAAAATGCCAGCATGCATGACTAGGCCAGCTGCAGCAGCAGCAAAAGTTCTTAAAGGTTGTAATCAACTAATGAAAAACTGAATAAAAGGTATTAAACTGTCTTTAAATGTATCCCATCCAATAAAGAAGGCATGCCAATAATTAAAAATCATCATCATCATCATCATATGATACTGTCTTACATCATTGTCAAATTAAAAATTTAGTCCTGGATATCAACTTTACACAAGAGTACAGTGAAATTACCCTATTTTCCACTAATCTCATGTCAAGAATTTAACACTCAAGAATAAAGAGATGATTATTTTCATTTGAAGAGATGATTTACCATCTAGCCAGCTAGGTTTGATTGTAATAGGTAATTTTCTGCAGGACACAAAAGAAAAATGCCCATGCCCATTTATTCCTTGAAATGCTAGAGCGCTATAATGGCAGCACAGCTAAAGCCGGGGTAATAATATCCAAGTTTGGAAGCGCTTAGAGACTTATTGTGATTTGCGCTATATAAAAGCTGAATATTATTATTATCATTATTACCAGAAGTTAAAAAAAAATTGTATTGCTAATTCCTTTTCAACATGATCCCTTGTTATGCTACAATCATATTACAATTGTCCCGTCTTGGCTTTTGTGTCAATCAACCGGTTTCCTAACATTTTAAAATTTAAGGCTGTTTAATTCTTTTTCTAAGGACCTACTGTGAAATTAAAAATATTTGTGGTACATCATTTTTTGCAGATTTTTTCGCTAAGATCAGCAAGCGCGAATTTAGAACTTGAGAAAATATAAGCATGACTTCTTTATGCGTGTTTTGAACGGGCTGAATAGCGGGCCACGCAAATTTAAGAACCAGCGAAGATGTTTAGCACGAAAAATTAATCATCCCAAAATTAACAGCGTTTACAGTATATAGTGACAAGTTATCACATTAACCCGTTATTAATGAATGATCTACAATACGCAGAATCCAGTCTGCATACATTACTTGTTGCTATGTTGGGCAAGCCTCAGGAAAGCTTTCAGGTTGTCAAGAACAACCTTTATTTCAAATGTATGCATACAATTTGAATATGCTAGAAAACCAGTCTATTTGAGAGAGTTGAGTTCTGGGGAGAGATGAAAAAGCATATACAAGTGTGTCTGGAAGAACATCAGAAACAAATTTGTCTGAAAAGCATATCTCTTCAAATGCCTTCATATTCTAAATATGAAATGTAACAGCTTTAAAATGTGGACCATATTTTTATGCCACATGTTTGTGCAGTCTTTCATTCATCTTTATGTGTACAGCGCTTGGTACTTTTACCAAGACTGGGTCAAATTTCTTATCATTTTGATGATTCCAGAACCTTGCAGTACACACCAATACTCATATGCTAGATGATCATCTTTTTCTGATCAATTCCATCCTGTTTCTTTCATATAATGCAATCACATGACCATGCAGAACGCGGCCTTATCTTAAAGTATCATCTGTACCGTAATTTCACTGAGTGAAGTATACCACATTCAATCAAATTCTTATTTTAAGTGCTGTTTACAATGACTCTATGAATGCTAAATTCAAATCCTCTTTAATTCACTCGATCATGAGCGCTCTACGGTGTAGATGGTTAGATGCATACATTAGTATACAAGGCAATCTATTATATCCTTAAATGATACTCTTATGAAATGGATGCATTAGGCTTCATCATTCGCCCGATGGTTCCAATTACATCTAAGTAGACCTCATAATAGTCTCATTATGTTCATCAGCATAATAGCAAATGAAAGAGACTGAGGGGCAGACAGAGTGGAGACAAAAATTCAATAGAGAAAAGAATATTTTGTGTATGTGCATGTGTGATAGGGGGGGGGGGTGGTCACTAATGTAACATTATAGATATGAGCATTAAAACCACGCCCTTCAAAGGAATTTATGAGCCTATTCCACTGCCAGTATACTAATGGAGTGATTATTATAATTTGTATAAAATAGCTGTAAAGTAGATGTCCCCAAATTGTGCATTCTAATTTATCAAATTTGAAGGCTATACATCCCTCATCAAATCCTCCAGGTATGGGATTGAAGGCAATGGTTGATGTATTCACCTATTTGCTAAAAACCCAGAACAAAAACAATGATTATCTACAACAATCTTAAGTCTCTCACATTCCTAATCTCACCATACCTGTAGCCTTATCAAGATGTACTGCATCAATTTACCTACCGGTAAATCATATAACACTGTATCAAGGTATATGAACAGTACATGCTCAAATTCTGTGCAAGTAAGAGAATATCTACACCCCTCACTCAATTTCCTTCTCCATTTTGACCAAGTGTTTCCATTCCTGCGGCCTTTTTTCCTTTCCGTCCAGGTACATTATACAAGAGGAAAAGAGAGAGCTGGGGAAGCTAATAAACCCTAGGAAGCGGAGGAGAGATGCAGCACAAGACTCCATTTCATGCGGTCTCATTAACATGAGACCATTTCAGGTGTCACCAAAGCGTGTTCCAACCCATTCATCAAAGCTTGCTCGGTGGTCAGAGGAACGAGGGAAGAGCACTTCTCCTCTTCCTCTTCCTCTACTCAGCCAGTCGTAGCATTGGGATGAATAAAGTACCTAATAATCAACCACATACCCATCATCCACGTACCCATCATCCACGTTCCTGCAAAGCAGCACTCATGAAAGATTCACTACTCATGTGATGCTGAGAGAGTAAAGTGCAATAAAATTGTACGAAGTTGGAGCCTGACTGCGTTCTAATGCGTTCGATGACATCATTTAACAAGATACAACAACCACATAAAAGCCTAGATTATTTTAAAGTTACTTTTAAATGAAATATTCTTTCACTAAAGATACTTTTAAGACCCTCTCAATTAAAATTTAAAAAGCTTATGTTGATAAGCAATGCCATGATCTATGGAGCTCTCATTTTTAGGAAATCTACCAACCTCAACTCCAATTTTGATTTGATATTACTAGTCAATCAAAGAGTAAAGTTTTATAGTCAATCAGAGAGAATAGTTTTATATTCATCTACATGGTTTGGGATTTCCTCTTTCAAGTCACAATGGTCACATTTCTGATCAAAAATGGTCTTTATAGGCAGGTGTTAAGTACAGGTGCCTATAGTACATGTTTCAATGAGAAACCCTTTTTCATGGGAAAACAAAAAATGTGGTCTTTGTAGACAGGTGGTCACTAAAGCAGGTTTGACTGTATAAGCTTGTGCTAACTCGGATCGATCACTCTCAAGCTCTTTCAATACTTAAAACATATTCCATCTGAGCGATTAGCATTCTACAAGTGACATTTAATTCAATTAATAAAATTATTCTAGTGATACAGATTGCACACTTTATTTGTTGATACCCGGTATTCAAACAAATGATTGCATCATATATAATAAATTTCAAAAACACGAGAAAGTAAATAGGCATAAGGCTTGTTCTTAGGTCAAGAGGATTGAAAAGCATATTACAGCGATTCAGAAGTAAAACTTCTCATCCCCTTTTCACTTCTGGCCACTTATTTGAAAACACACCTGTCGACCAATAGTATAATGAGAGGCTGCTACTACAAGTGAGAGTGCACTGTGCCCCGGTCATAACTAGGCTATCAAGAATCAAATCTAATTCATAGCTTTTGGGCAAGGGTAACATGATCCTACTCAACAAGTACTGATGGGCTTATAACATGCAGAGCGTTCGTTGGCTCATTCTTAATACAGCACTCACCAAGTGCCTGAAGAAATTAAAGGAAGACACAACTAAATTTGTATGTAAATTCAGCAATTGTGGGTCAGAGTATCAGATTACTTTCCTCAGTCAATTGGAAACTGTTATCAGAGGCTGAAAACTGGGCTGGATAAACAAAATGGCCTCATCTCCGATCGAAAAACAAATTGATGCGTTGTAACAAAATATTATGAGATGTATGTCTGTTTGAGACAACAATAAGGATCTTGTAAAGCCACTAGACTCTGGAAAAGATATTTTCTGTTAAATGTATGCTTTTCCTTGATGCCGAAGAGCACAAGAGAGAGAGAGAAATAGAGAGAGAGAGAGAGAGAGAGAAGAGAGAGAGAGAGAGAGAGTGAGAGAGAGAGAGAGAGAGAGAGAGAGAGAGAGAGAGAGATACGGAGACAGTGACAGCTAGGTTTGATGCCTGATACACACACAATAGTAACAATCATTGACAAATGGGGAGAGGGAGATAGAGGAGGAGGGTGATAAAAACAGAAATAGACAAGATATAAAAGGAGGGAGAAAAGGGAAGAGAAAGAGATATAAAAAAAAAGGAGAAAGTGAGAGAAAGAGATGGGGGCAAGAGAGAGAGAGAGAGAGAGAAAAAGAGAGAGATGGATAGGGAAGAAGATGGGGAGAAAGAGCGAATTAAGAGAGAGAGGGAAAAAGAAAGAGTGAGAGAGAGATAGAAAGAAAGATAGAGAAAGAAGGAGAGAGAGAGAGAGAGTGAGAAAAGAAGGAGAGAGAGAGAGAGAAAAAAAATAAGAGAGAGAGAGATGTGGGCACAGTAATAGTTACGCGTATAGACATATAGGAAGAGTAGAAAGGTCGAGGGAACAACAGATAAAAGTCAAACAACATGAAACATACCCGAGGTACTTGATGCTATTAGAATCCTTGTTCCCGTCCTTAGCCATTGTTGGATGTCGGATGTGAGACGGAGTTGTTGCGTGCAGAAATCGACTTCTCAGGTGTTTGTCTTGCAGAGGAGATGCTCTTCTCCTTGTTGCCGCTCCTCCTACTCCTACTCCTGCTGATGCTGCTGCTGTGGGGATGAAGATGGGGTGCCACGGTCTCGCGGGGTGACGGATAGATGCGTTGAATGCTGATCTGATCGTCAACGATGATGACGCTTGACGATGGAGGTGGATTGGCAGAACTGGAGAACCTAATTGAAAGCATGATCAAGAACATAACAATGAGGGATGCATTAGATGGCACATCTGCTGCTGGTAGAGCGCAAATTGGGGCACACATCAAACGACAGGGGAGATAAACAAAATTATAGACTATGACCAAAAAAATTGACCATGGTTCTCATGCCCCATTTCACTTAGAACCTCTCATTGAAGCTTATCTTGAAATAATTTTTTCATCAACGTTTCCATTGACAGTTTTCAATTCAATTCGATTCAATTCAATTCAATTTCGGTTTTATTACAAATATACCAAATAAAAAGTCCAAAGACTAACAATAATTGGCTTACAATGTATCATATAAAAATGCATTAAAAACAGTAGATTTAAAAATTCAGTAATAAGTTAAATTACATTGCTCACATTGTATCATATCAAAATGCATTAAAAACAGTTGAATTAAAAATTCAGTAATAACTTAAAGTATGAAGGAAAAAAAGAAGAAAAAAAAAAAAGATTGTAAGTTATAAAATTGTGATAATCAGTTTGTCAGTGAATTGAGAAGAGTGCATAAGGGCTAACAAATGCTTATGAATTAGAATTCATATATTTCACATCTCTTACATTAAGATGAAATGCTTAATATGAATTTTGGATTTAAAGTTAAAAATCATTTTTTAAATTGTTAATTTGAAACATATAATCATGAAATAAAGCATCCTAAGCCACCTTGATGGCTTGATGTTATAGTCTTGTATCAGCTGCAACAACAAAATTATCCCCTCTCTCTCTCTCTCTCTCTCTCTCTCTCTCTCTTGCTCTGGCTGTCTGTCTGTCTCTCTCTCTCTCTCTCCCTCTCTCTCAACGGACGGATGTATGGGAGTAGTGAGCAATTAGCTCTAAAAAGTGTCAACAGAGTTCTGGCAAGGAGTTACTGGTTCTGGTTACAAATAATGAATTCAATCAAAACTGCTCTAAAAAAATCACACTGTCACATCACCCATTCCAAAAAGAGTGCCCGTGAACAGAACAAGTGTATTTTACACTGCCCTTGTATGGAATGTGATCCAAGCAAACAAAAATTAAGAATGAGAAGAGGGTAAAATCAAGTCACATGGGATGGTTGATGAATTGCATTCTATGAAAGTCATCAAAAATCAAAAATCTCCCCCCCCCCCTCTCTCTCCCCCCCCCCCCCCCCTCTCTCTCTCTCTCTCTCTCTCTCTCTCTCTCTCTCTCTCTCTCTATATATATATATATATACAGTGCGTCCCAGAAAAAACAAAACCGAGAAGTATTGATGTTTTATCATAACTTAATCACAACCATAATTAATGAATGATACATATTTGGAAAGCTTAGAGTCTCCTCTTTCAGTTGATGTGACTCATATGATGCATATATCATGCATGAGTGATTAAAAGCAATTTGAAGGAAGGAAACCAAAAAGTAATTTAGCAGGCGGTAATTGAATTTCAAAGAAAAATTCATATTTCTAGAAAGTTCATTTTCTGCTCTTTCATATGATACCTCAATCAAGAAAAATGAGCCAGGAATAACAAAGTTCTGTTTGTTTAAAGTAGCCCTAACATTTTCATAATTTTAACAAACGAATTCGTTTTCACTGGGTGCCTGCCGTAGCAAAAAGCAGATTTGACAAAAGACTTAACTCCGTTTCGTTGACAATCAGCCATGCATGAAGAGTCTCGGTTTCGTTTTTTCTGGGACGCACTGTGTATGTATATGGGGAAGTAGCTTTAGAAAGTGTCACACTTCCACATCACTAAATCTAAAAAGAGCTCCCGCGAACAGAAAGGTATGTTACGCTGCCCTTGCATGGAATGCGATCCCCGAAAACGAGAAAAAAAGAATGAGAAGAGGATAAAAACAAGAAGTGAGCTGCAGCCACATGGGGTGGTTGATGCATTGCGGTCAATGAAAGTCATGAATCACCCCCATTGCCTATAGGTTCATAAACACCATGAAACCCGAACACATGATATGATCACATTCAGACTTTAACTTTGTACAGACTCACAAAAGGGAACACACTATAGAAAGTATACATCCACTGTCTTCCCCTGTATTACACTTGATGTAGATGATGAAGGACCCCCTTGAATGATCACTTTTCCCAGTTGAAAACTTTATTTCAGTGATTTTACACTTTCCATCTTCAAAATCATTTTCATAAAATATAACATCTCAAAATTCGGATCACGTGAAATCTGGAGAAATTATATGTTATACCCCCTTCACATACATGGATTTTTCTTACGAGTCCTTATGGATCGCACAAATTCACAGATCTTTCACGGATCCTTAGGATTTGGCCACTTTTACGACCGGTTTAAGTTTCATAACGAGTTATTACGATATATTTACGGCAACAGTCCACGATTTGTTACGAGTTGTCATGGATAACTACGAGCAACTAGCGTGTTAGTTACGACCTGTTTACGTGTTGTTACGAATAGTTCCGAGTAAGTTCCGAGTATTTACGAGTCCTTACGAATATTAGCCAAACAAATAAAAACTGAAAATGAAGTGTTCGAATTTGCAGCTTTTACACCTTTCCCCAAATCGTAAATAGTTCGTAAGCATACGTAAAGTATATGTATCTATTTGTAAAGTACTCGTAAAATATCCCGTAACAATCCGTAAAGCCACCGTAAAATGACCCGAATAAAATCGTAAACAACATGTAAGCACTCGTAATAATCCGTAAATAATCCGTAAAAAAATCGTAAACTAACCGTAACGAATCATTACAAAAATCTCTTAAGAGTCATTTACGGATTCTTACGAGCAGTTTGGGATGGTAACGTGTTCTTGCGAGCGGTTTACGGATGGTTACGGATTGTTACGAGCTATTTACGAGCTATTTACGGACAAATCAATCCGTGGACGATCGTAAGAAGATTTTTGACATATCAAAAAGTTTGCCTCTCCTTTCACGGATCCTTAAAGAGTGTCTACGAGTTGTTGCGAGTTGTGACGAGTTATTTACGGATACCAGCGAGTTGTTTACGGATGCTTGCGATTGACTACGAGTTGGCGATCCGTAAGGACTTGTAAGAAATATCTGTGTATGTGAAGGGGGTATTAAAAGGTAACTAAGAAGAAGAAAAGTTTTTTGAAAAAGCTGTTCTGCATGCCCTTACACTATAATCACAATCACTATTAAGATTATTGGCAAATAAAGTTATGCAACACAAGGATGATATTAAAACTTTGTTCTGTTACTTAAAGCCCATATGTACTAGTGTACAGGAGGGATTAGACCAACCTGCAAGGTCACATGACAGGTGGTTACCTCATCAAATCAGCTCCCAATTACTATAAGAAAAAGAGGATCATGGGGGAACAACGGTCACCAATTAGGCATTGTTTGCTCTATATAGAGGGCACAAGTAGCTACAAGTAGTGCAGTCCCGCTTTAAACTATTGAATCTGATTGTAAAACCACATACAAGACAAAACTGACAAACCTTCTTCTTCTTCAAAATAATCTGCCTCCTTCACTGCTGAAGATTCTTGCAGATGTGTGCGAGTGCATGTGTGTTGCGACATGGGGATGTCCAGGTGTGCAGGTGAGGTGTATATATACATAGTGCCAGTAAAAAAAAATAAAAAAATAAAAAAAAATAAAAACATTGCCGGAATTTACTTCCCCCCGGTCTTTAGTTGTCGCTGGAAGGCTCTATTCAAAAGCTATTGAAGCCTCAAGGACAAGATGGTGGTGGGGGCAGGTATAAAACTGCACTGGAGCCATAAAGACTGGCCATTTGCATACATGTATCTATCAGGACAGAGAGACTTCATCCACAGGGACACTATCAGTATTCACCGACAGGTCGAGAGAGTTGAGAGAAACTCGGTGTATATGGAAAACAGAAAGAGCTCTGTAATGTGCAGTGTTACATGTATACAATCCACAGGGATGTCTCGGGTTTCAAGCCAGAATTAAGACAGTGCGGTGAAAAACTACATGCCTGGTAAATCCTTTACAAGACAGATCTTCCCTTTCTATACCTTTGGGTAATAAACGCATGCACACTACCTCTAGGAAATGCCATTCCCTGAAGTTCATCACAAATGGCACTCTTAAAACGATGTCGCTTAGTGCAAGAAAAAAAAACAGCATACAGCTTGTGATCCCATGCCTGGATAAGATCTTCAACCATTAACCTAATAAATTGTTTACAAGGCAAAGTAAAATAAGTATGAGTATTGGGGATTCAGGGGAAAAGTACATTATATGTACTTTCTTTTTTTGCTTTCCAGTGGACTTTTCACTTTAAAAATGAATTATTTCTGTATCATCATTCTTCTTCTATTTTCCTCTTTCTTGTTTCTTGTGTCTTCCTTATTCTTCTTCTTCTTCTTCCTCCTCTTCTCCTTTCTTCTTCTTCTTCTTCTTCTCATCATTATTATTATTATTATTTCGCTACATCTACAGTGTGAGTCAAAATAAAGTTTACACCTAGAAATTGCTGATTATTATAAAAATCATTTATGACCAGTAAATTATTATACATCTTATAAAAGAGTGTTTTATCCCGAATCATTTAGTATCATTTTGTGCCGTATGTGTTCACGCTTGAATGAACAGGAGGCATTGTTTACGAGAGTGCAAAATTGACTTGCGCCAAAGTTGCTTATGTGATGTTCGAATAAAACAATTGGGATTTGGGTATTAATTCGGTCTTTGCAGATCCAAATAACATCCCTAACAGAATTAAACATGTCACACATATTAAATATCGAATATGAAATATCAACAAACATTTGTGCGTGTGCGTGTGCGCATGTGTGTGTGTTTGTGTGACTTTGCTCCTGCTTTTGCAAAAAGCATATGCAATGCATTTCATTTGATACATTCAATTCATTCTCTCACTCAGCTAATCCCAACATAATACATACAGTAGGCATTACTTTGGCGCAAGTCGATTTTTGCACTCTTGCAAACAATGCCTCCTGCTCATCCAAGCGTGAACACATACCACACAAAAATGATACCAAATGATT